TTTGTTAGGATCATTTAGAGTTCACAGTGAGCTGTTAAAAACTAACTGACTAGACAGATGTATGTGTTGTTGCCTTGATATAAGATAAGAAGCTAACAATTAGCTATTAACCGGTTCCTTCCAGGTAACAATAACACGTGCCGCTGCACAAACGTCGTGCTCTCCTGCCGCCTCGCGTTTGCACACGTACACGTACTAGGCCCAAGCAAAACAACAAAATTGATCGTAGCCTTCCCAAACAGCCGCCCGGAGCTGATGCCGCAGGTACTCCCCTTCCGGCTGGCGTACACCGATATCTTCAGGCTGGCGTACACCGTACACCCGCACGAACGGGCACGGGTCCATGGCGCGCCTGCTGCTGCCGCGGTTCCTGTCACTGCCTGGATTTTGTTTTTTTTTAATTTCTGAAGAATCGTGAACAATTTGATATATATTTCTCTGATATTTAGAATCCATAGAAATAATTTATAATTTTTTTAAAAAAATTTGACATATATTTATGTTATTATCAAATTACATCATTTTGTCTAATAAACTATACTGAAAAAATTATTGTAAATATAGTAATAAAATAGTGTAAATATAACTATAAAATAGTGTAAGTGTATGAAAAAAACCTGATTGTTGGTTGATGGCTAGACGGTCCGTACGGTTGGCTTTCGCTGCATCACTGAAGCTGAGCCACCGTGAGCACTGAACCGAAGCCCCTAGTAAGAACGACACCGGCGAACTCGAACGAGATTTTGCGAAATCCGCTCGACCAATTCCGCGGGCCGGGCGGGTCCGGGTCCAGCCGCAGCAGCCAGCAGCGACCACGGGAGCTTAAGCTAGCTACTGACTCACTGTTCCTGAATCCCTTGGCCCGGAGCGCGCGAGCAAGCCGCCAAGAATCGCTCGCCATGCTCCGTCTCCGAGCGAGGGCGGCAACAACGGCAGAGCGCAGATCGGACGACGGTGCAGCACACGACGCCACAGTGGAGCTAGCGACGGTTCCGGCGGGAGCGCGGCCTGGTTCACGGTTCACGCACCGCGCGCCATGGCATGGCAGCCAGGACGAGACGAGACGTCCTTGTCCCCGAAAAGCAGGAGGGCCCCCCGAATTTTTTTGTTTTTCAACCTTTTTTTTCAAAGATTTTCACAAATACGTCCCTAGCACCTTTCAAAAAATAGACCCTGATCTCGATGCTGTGATAATTGACACCGAGTTTGCACATCTCGACGCCAAAGCAATTGGTGCCGAGGTCCAGGGTCATTTTCACGTGTCATTGACGTGGCTGTTTGCGTGGCGCGGACATGGCATGAGCTCGGCGCCGTGGATCTTGACATCGTAGATCTTGGTGGCTAGCTCGGAGCCAATTATTACAAATACCAGACGCATTTTTCCCTTATGCGCTGCTCAAGCGTCCGCGTGAGCCAGCCCAAGCAGCGAGCGAGGTGAGCCCCACGCACGCCGCCCTCGCCCGCGCCGCCCGCTACCACTCATGCCGACGCCGTCCCCACCAAAAGAAGTAAAGACGCCACGCCGCTGCGGCACGAGCGGAACGGCAATGAGGCCGCCGTCGCCGCGGCACAGGGCGGTGGGTGGCGGCGCGCGTCGCCGTCGCTACCGGGCGCTTTCGCTTTTCTTCTACGGCGCCGCCATCGCCCCTCCATCCATCCGCCACAGACCTCGCCTTCCTCCGGCGCGGTTCCGGGCCCAGGGGACAAAGCTGCTGTCGTTAACTACATAAAAAGCTTTTACCAACGCTAAGGTGGGATGACTGTTCATTCACTGTAGCTAGAGCCGGTTTTCTCTCTCCTTCCCTCTCCCTCTCACAGCCAGCCGTTGAAGCTCAAAATTTGGGCTCCGCCGGCTACGTACGTGAACAGTACCCGAGCTACAGTGGGAGAAGAAAGCCGGAGGGAGAAACCGGCTCTGAGCTACAGTATCTCTACAGTGATCTGTCGCCGGAGCCGGGGCTGCCCGGAGGCACGCCAAACAGGCTCTTAATACAATTTTTTTAAAAATAAATTACCTACCTTATTGATAGCCCTGGACAGGCAAATGCGGCCAGCGCCTGCCGGGAGAGTCCAGACGCCTTGAGGTGTTGTATTGTATCCGATGCTGGCAGCCGCGTCCGATACGCGTATATATCAGAGGCGATACGTTCTCAGATACACATCCACGACGTATCAAACGCGTACCGGATACATACTCGATATATGCTACCCTCTAGAAGTGTAGCTTTGTACGATATATACAGTATGTATATGTGTGTGTATATATATATATATAGCTCGGCGCCGTAGTAACTGGCGTCGAGCTCGGGGTCAAGATCTGCGGTGCTAGTTACCGTGGCGCCAAGCTCATGCCACGTCCGCGTCACTCAAACAGCCACGTCAACGACACGTAGAAAATGACCCTGGGTCTCGATGCCAATTGGCGCCGAAAACATGTAAACTCGACGCTAATAGTCACGGTGCCGAGGTTATGATCTATTTTTTGAAAGGATACTGTCATGAGCGTATTTATGAAAACCTTTCCAAAAAAAAAGCTGAAAAACAAAAAAAAAAATTGGGGAGGGGCCCCGGCCGGTTACGGACTCTTGCGCTGCGGCCTGCGGGGCAACGTGTGTACCGGCGGGGCTCCACGCCGAGGTCCCCTCGCTTTGGTGGTCTGCCTCCTTCGGCCTGTCGCCCTCCGATCGTCGTCGTCGTCGCCCTCCCGCCCGCGATGCGATGCCTCGCTACGTCTCCTCCTGGATTGGATGGACTACAGACCTACAGTTGTCATGCTTTGTCCGAATCTGAAAACATTCATCGAATTATTTAGCCCGGACCACACAGTAACGCCGGATTATATATAATATTGTGTGTCTGTGTGTACCAATTTTCTTGTCAGATAATAGTAATGGCTTTACCGGTTTCAACCTCTCCCTAGTTTATTTTGTTGCAAATGACTTCGCTAGCTTCATGCAGGAGAGATTGAGATTTCTTTTGAACTTAGCCTCAAACAAAACGACCAGCACGTACTAATAATTAGTTAGTGAGAGGCAAGATGATCTTTGCCAAGCTCCTTATTTGTATGAAAATCGTTTGAACCTCTTATATTGGAGGACAGAGGGAGTAATTTGAAATATTGGGAGTAGTAGTTTCCTGTTGCGGATTAGTGGATAAGAAGATACTTCCGTTAAATCAGGATATGCAGTGCAAGCTTTAGATGTCTTTGGGCGCATCCCATCTGTCTCTCCTTTTTTTAGCGGATCTTTATCTCTAGCACTATCGACTATCGTGGTGGATATACTGTATATAAACCCTTGAGTATTATATTCTGGACCGCCGCACATTCCAGGAAGCACGTCGGATAGCCCTGAGGAATGTTCTTCGCAGCTCCTCCTATATCCATCCCTACCTGTGCGCAGTATAAAAATAGCAATTTCTTATCCGTTGGAGCTTGTCCACATGCTCGAATTGCAACTAGACACTATGGCATGTTTGTCTTATAATTTATCAGCCTGTTCGTTTTGGTTGAAACGATCGTAGATTATTTACTGCTGGCTGGTTTGGTGTGAGAGAAAAATAATATTCCAGCTTATAATCCATGATCGTATAAGCTAGCCGAACAGACTGTATATTTTTAGCTTGTTTTTTTATTAGAACAATATTTTTTCTAGCGAACCAAGCGAAACAGCGTTTCGTTTTTTTTATTTTACGAAGCGAACGGGGCCTATTTTATTATCAAGGCAAGTCGTCCGCTTTTGGCGGCGAACGCTTTTTCGTGGCCATCTCTCGCCGTAAGATAAGATGGAGAGGGAGCCGTAATAATGATTTCTCTTTGGCTTGAATGCACGGTGACGCGCTGACGGCGATCCGCGCGCTCGCTGCAGTAGAGTACAAAATACACTCACGTCTGACGTCCCGGTCCCTTCGTCCAGCTCAAGCCAAAGGTGTATGCAGCCGGCAGGCGATGGGATGCTCCCTCCCTTCTACTGTACACATGACCGCGATTCCCATGGCGGGCGGAACTCGATCGACCAGGGCCACGTTTAGTTGCCCACGGAATTGGCGCCGTCGGATTTCATGGAGACACTGTAGCGTACTTTAGTATTTCGTTTGTATTTGATAATAATTATCCGATTGTTGATTAATTAGACTCAAAACGTTCGTCTCGTAAAGTATAACTAAACTATGCAATTAGTTTTTGATTTCGTCAACGTTTAGTACTCTATACATGTACCGCAAGTTTGATGTGACGAAAAATCTTATTTTTACATAGTATTAAATTTTGATTTTGGATGAACTAATCATGGCCCAGAGATTCAGAGCCCGGCCGGGGGAGAACGACCAACGCACGTCTCACGATTTGATAGCCAGGTCGGCATCGCCCAACTCATCGTGATTTGACTGATTTCGATCTTTCAGTCTGCTCATCATTTTTATTAAAATTAAAATTATTACTAAAACGGTGCTTCGCATCTTCAAAACTACTATGAGAAGAATTAATTGGACGTCCCATCAGCAGGAGAGCAAACATATAAAAATTTCAGTTTTGGATCAGAACACATGGCCCCTCCTTTTATTTCCCCCTTGTCCTAGAAAATTAGAGAAGAGTATCCAAGAGAATCAGCAGGACGGTTCCATTCCAACCAATTTGAGTTGGAGCCAGCCACAGGCCACAGCCAGTACCCAACTGCCCAATCAGCAAGCAGATTATTATTCAACCAATCGATCAATGTACCTGTTGAGCTATACTCTGATACTAATACACATGACACACCACATTCCTTCACAGCAGCTGAGCTTAGCTCCTTTCTTTCTTTGCCATTGATTTTCACTACTAAAATCGCCGATGGATCGGAGGCCAAAACAAGCACACCGGCCGGCCTTGTTGTTACAAAATTTTCATTTCATCCAAAAAAACAAAGAAGAGGAGGGAGAGAAATCTGAGAGGCAATGAAGAGAAGAGGAGGAAGCAAAAGCAGATCAAAACCTGTCTGTAAGGGTCGCTTGCTCATTCTTTATCATCCGTCGAAGCCCGTCCGGCTCCAGACGGCGTCGCGCACCCGCGACATGTCCCGGCCCTTGAGCGTCCGGCCAGCGCCCTCCACCACGGACGCCCGCGCCTGCCGCCGCGCCAGGTACACGTGCGGCGGCACCCACCCGCCGGCGCCCCGCTTGCCGTCCTCGTCGTCGTCGTCCCCCATCTCCATCTCGAACAGCAGCGCCGGCTCCGCGTCCGGGACGGCGAAGCGGGCGGGCCACGCGGGCACCTCGACGGGCGCCGACGCAGCCACCTGGCGCCCGGCGGGCCCGTCCCCGAACGCCTGGCTCAGGCCGCCCTGCACGCCGCGCCGAGGGGCCCCGCGCTGCCCGCCGGCGCTCCTGCCCTCCGCCTCCTCCACCTGGCGGGACGCCGCGGGGCAGGGGCTCCCCGGGTCACCGACGGCGGCGTACCAAACGTCGGCCTCGGCGAGGTCCGGCAGGTCGTCGAAGGCGGCGGCGGGCGCTGGCGCCACGGCCGCCGGAGACGGCCCACCGCGGGGGAAGCCGAGGAACCGCTCGGCGGCGGCGAACGTCGGCCTGCGCGCCTTGGCCATCAGCGACCGGACCGCGCACGCGTCGGGCGGCGAGGAGAGGAAAGCCGGGCGCGCACGAGACCTCCTCCTGTCCTGGCCTGATGAGAGAGAGAGAGCCGAGGTGGAAGGTGTGGAAGCGAGGGGAGGCGATTTTGGTTAAGGTTTGGCGCTCGGTGCAACCTGCCGCGCATTTATAGGCCGCGGGGTGGCTGATGCGGGCCCCGCGGACCGAGCCGGGGTGTTTTGGTTTGTCGTGACGGGCCCCAGCGCGTGAACTGATTCACGCTACTCCAGTTTACGTGTCCGTGACGTAGTTACGGCGGGCTGTGGGGTCCACTCCACTGGTCTAATTATACGGAGTAATTTTTATTTCTTCAGTTTGGTTGGCAAGTGGCAGTCAACGGTCAATGTGTGTACATGGTGTCGTTGGTTTATCCTCATTGTTGCACATCGTGTCACGGAATGTGCGTGGCCGGACACGTTTTAGGTTTCTCTCTTTTCTAATTAAAAAATACTATTCCAAACTACAGGACGTTATGACTTTCTTAGCATAGCTTTTACTATGTACTTAAACATACATTATATCTAGATATATAGTGAAAGCAATGTATTTATGTATCTAAAAAAATAAAAAACGTCTTATAATTTAAAATAAAGAGAGTATAGTACTAACGCACACATGGTCCTAGTATACAGTACTCCTCCAATCCAAATAATAAGATATTTTGACTTTTCTATATATATTATTTTACTATGCATCTAGACATAGCGTCCATCTAAGTGTATTGTAAAAATTATGTATTAAAAAACAAAATGTATTCTAATTTGGAATTGTGCGAGTATATACTAACATCCTATAAATACACACACATATTCCCCTACGTCGACATATTTTAAGATGCCAGTATCACTATACACATCTTGTTAATGAAGAACACTTATAGCATTAAAGAAGATTAGCGTTAAACCCTAGAAAAAAAACGAACAATTGGCTAGTTTTTACTTTGTGCATCCTAGTATATGAAATGAAAGCAAACAAATGGATGGTCACATTTACAGGCTTGTATTTAAGTCTGCTGGACAGGGATAAGCTACATGTATGATCATTTGCCCCTCCTAGTGCGCCAGATCGTGGTGCGTCGATATAAAAACTCTAATTTCTTGATCTTAATATAACGATGCACAAACCTTTTACGTATTCGGAAAAAAAATTACAGACAATTTTTGCCACGTGTATATGCCATCGAGAAATCTTATTTTCGTAATTGTAATGCAGGGAAAAAATACCCTGGAATTTTTGCCGCGTGTATATGCACAGCCAATCGGATCCAAATCATGGACAACGGTACTACCATAAACAACTGTATTCTACTCCGTACTCCGGTCGATAAGCACTACTAGGCCTCGTTCACTTTGAAAAAAAGTGAACCCGATGAATAGTATCACTTTTGTCTTTTTTGACAAATATTGTCCAATCATGGACCAACTAGGCTCAAAAGATTCATCTCGTGATTTCCAACTAAATTGTGTAATTAGTTATTTTTTTATCTACATTTAATATTCCATACAAGCGGCTAAAAATTGATGTGATGAAAAAAAAGTAAAAAAACTTTAGAATTTGGATGGCATCTAAACAAGGCGCTAGTAGTTTTGTCGCAAAAAATATATTTAAGCTGGCATGGAGGGATGCCAGGTCAATGCTTATCCTGTCTGTTTTGAGCCCCGGCGAATACGAGGTTAGGTAGTGGCACACACAAATACCTTTCCAGGGGTGTGAGTGTGAGGCGGTGAGCTCATCATCTGATGCACTGCACCTCGTGGGAAGATTCCTGCTCCATTCCCTGCCCTTTTGTTTACTGTGCAACATGCCTCCCCTCCACTCCAGTACTCCACGCATACACAAGGGCGCCGCGTACTGCATTCGAGTCTACAGGACCAGGTCCAGGCCTGGATAGGCACGAGGCCCGACGCCCTGCCCGGGGGCCAGGCGAGGGCGGGGTGGGCCATCTGCCCCACGTGGTGGGGGATCTGTGGGTCAGATGTGTGGTGCGCTGGCCATTGGCCGCTCAGCCGCTGGTGTAGGAGTAGGACGTACTAGTCACGTAGGTGATGACGCCATCCATTACCACGCCACGTGGTCACGGTCACGGCCTCACGGACAGGCAGGGGGGAGGGTTTACCTCCAATCCGGATAACCACGCCACGTGGTCCGGCGGATTGGATTAGCGCGTACTGAGCATGTGTACGTACGGTTACATTACATGTTCACAGGCAGTGCCGTACAGGAATAGGCAAAGGGATACGGTCCTCTACCGCCAACCATACCCCGGTTACCGAGCCCATTGCGTACTTGCGTGCACCTGGACTGGTCTTAGTTTCACGCGAGCCACGAGGTGGTCGTCTGTGGCCAGGTGCGTGTGAGCGGTGATGAACCTGCAATTCCTGCGGACCGGCGCCCGCGGCCCGCACGGCCGCACCGCACGTGTGTCCTGTGAAGCTGTGAACGCTTTTAAACGGCAACCGAGATTTATTGTGACCTCATTCAACTGCATGCTCGATTCTTCGTTTCCCGGTAGACGCACGTACTCACGATAATGCAGAATTGCAGATAACCTAGCTATCCGCGGATGAAGGGCAGCCGCCTGGGACGTACTGGGAGCGTTACGGAAACAGGTCCAAATTCAACGAACTTTCTTGCGGCGGCCCCACCTCGTGCAGCTCAGCAAGTACTCCGACATGCGTGCAGAAAGGCATGGTCTGCGACTGGAAATCAATGCGGTGCGGGGCCGGGGCACGAGCGCTAGACTTGGCCGCCAAGTTTTTACAGCTGGAGCCTGCAGGGGGATCGGAAAAAAATCCAGTCTCATCAGAACACATTTGTGCTGTTCAGTACAGGGTTTGGGGTACCCATCGACGGAAAAAATATTGACCACCGTTTCGGTGCAATCATACAAATCTTTCCAAAAAAAACATATTTAGAGGTTTTCAAAAATTATGAAATGATGCACATCCATAGTTCATCCATAGATATACGTTGCAGCAAAAGTTGGAAAACAAAATCAATCTAGATAAACTCGTATGGAAATAACAAATTTCGTGTGCATTTGCACGTACTCCAAGACAAATTCCTAGAATTTTTTTTCTTCTAGTGCACTTAACCCCTAAAATTTGTTATTTTTGTGTGGATTTGTACATAATAAGTTTGTCTCCCAACTTTTGTTACAACATACATCTATGGATGAACTATGAATATGCATCATTTCACAATTTTTGAAGACATCTAAGTAGGTTTTTTGGAAGGGTTTTTATAATTGCACCGAACGGTGGTTTGCACCCAATATTTTCCCGATCGACTACCCACCGTTGCTTGACATTGACATGATATACTCCTATGTGTTGATTAGGCCAGGTTTAGTTTAAAAAAATTTCACCCCAAACTATCACACCGAATCTTGCAACACATGCATGGAGTATTAAATATAGACGAAAAAAAACTAATTGCACAGTTTGGTTGAAAATCGCGAGACGAATGTTTTAAGACTAATTAGTCCATGATTAGCAAACATGCGCTAATGATGGATTAATTAGACTTAATAAATTCGTCTCGCAGTTTCCAGGCGAGCTATGTAATTAGTTTTTTTTATTAATATCCGAAAACCTCTTCCGACATCCCCGAAACATCCGATGTGACAATCAAATATTTTCATTTGGCGAATTAATCTTGGTGCTCCATACTCGGCCGTACAATGTGCACGTGCGTCCAGGAAAGAGGAATATATGCCTATAGCAAAGCTAATTTGGCGCGCGGGCGATTAATTCACCGCAGCAGTCGCGTCCGCGCGCCGCACGCATGCATGAGACATACTACAGTGTATATATTCCTTGGCAAAATTCAGAGCTACGGTAGCGTGCATGTTCACTACGACGGTACAACCCCCTGTTCTACTTCCATGCATGGTTTGTAGGGTTGAAAGCGGTCGAACTCGGTCGGGATAACCCCAATACTGTTTTCACTTTTACATTTCAATACGAAAACGAAATCGAATTCGGGAAGGTCGGAAACGAACACGAAAACGAACTAACGGGATATCGAAAACGAACTAATTCGATCGGGAACATGTCGAACACGGTCGGAATACGAAAAGCATAACGGAAACACCGGCCCGTAGAACTTAGTTGAGCATGACAACATGCCAACAGTCGGTACCGACACAACCACACATGGTCATGCACAATTCACTTGTACACATACATTGATACACAAATCACCAATTCACCATGACAATTGATAAATAGGCAACAGGTCTAAATATTTAGAGACATTTGGGCTAGCCAACAGGTTATATTTCAAAGACACTTCCCATGTCTTCTAGTTCCTCGCTTTCCTCTTCATTCCCCTCATTGATTTCTTCCTGCTGCAAGTTGGCAAGTTGCCATTGTGAAGAAAAGCGAAGGTAATGATCGATGAGGATCAATGAAAGGACTAACAAACCAAAGAAAGATATGCATAATCTAAAATGACCAAATGAAAATATACCTCAAGCTTAAGCTTATTAGCCATTGCAGAGAGACAATGCCTCCACTTCAAGATCACTCACAATTGATCCAACATATTTAGAATCTGAATACAAAAAGAAAGACATGAAATCAGTCCATTTTTCAAGTGCAAATATAAGTTTGTAACTAAAAAGTATGTACGTATATACGATCATCACCTTTTCTTGCTGCAGCAGCCTACCCAATCTTTGGTGCAAATCAATGCCTCTACAATCTCGTGGTCAAAGGCGATTACGGTAGGGATCAACAACACGACCAAAGCAAGACTAAAAGCGACTCGGATGCAACAGTCGATACTTGTATGGCCATCACATCACGAACAATCTGTGTAATGATAGGATAGTCTTCCCTCTTGTTCTTCCACCAAGCTAAGATGTCAAACTCACCAATAATTTTCTGAAGAGGTTCGGCCATGTACTTCTCCAACTCATTTGACTCAACCATACCAGGTTCACTTGCAGAAT